GAGTGTGACCGCGCGACCTTTGTGTAAATGAATGCCACACGACGTGTAAATGTAGTGCCCCGCCAACACGGTGCACAGTAGCAGTATTTGGTGCATACGTACGAGTAAGCAGAACGCAAAATAAAAACGTGTGTGTCGCCGCTCCTTATTAGACCGTTTCGGCCGGCTTTGCGCGTTTGCGAAGATCGAGAAGAAATTGGAGCGGTATGCATTACTCGGGCGCCCTTCCCCAGCTGAGCGGGACGAGGCCGGCGAGGCCGCGGGCCCCGTGGACTATCGGCCGCCCCTCCACGCCTCACCATGGGTTATCTCGAGAGTACCACCCGGGCGCGGGCGCGGGGCCGCACGGCCCGGCCCGATACGGCCCAGGGGACGATAGGGTACGATAGACGTTCCATCAGCCCCTGTACATTCAATCGTCACGGACGCCCCAGCCCAGCAGCCAGCGCCTCTATCCACGACGACGGTGCAAGGCGGCCAGACTCATCCCCGGGAGGGTAGCACGGGCGGGCGGGCGCTCATACGGGGTGGCCGAGCATGGCCCGAGTAAAAGTCGAAACCTATTGGATTATTTCCCTCTTGGGGGCGACCTTGTCGGGGAAAAGCACTTGCCTCCCGGCCCACACCGGCGCCATCATATTCCCCGTGACTCACCCCCCCCCCTTTTGGCTTTTCACCTATTTCCATTTTCCCGCCCAGGCCGCCCCGCTTTCCTCGTCCCACAGTTGCCGATTCTCCTCCCGCTCAGGTGGTTACCCAACGCGTGGCGCGTGGGAAACTTTGGGGTAGAGGGGAGGGGGGAGGGGTGAAGAAACGCACGACGCGCGAGTCAGTCGCCGTTTGAAGCCGCCGTCGAGCGGGGCGCCCCCTTCCGCCCTCCTCCTGGCGCAACCGCAACCACCCCGGCTGAAGCTAAAGCCTCGGTGCGACACCCCAGACCAAGTACTCCTCTAACGCTGACCCCAGCTTACCCCTCCCCCGCGCCGGCCGCACAATCACCTGGCCAGCCCGGAAGTGTCACGGGACGCCCTACCCCCAACCCCCTTCCACCGCCCCGCCCCGCCCCGCAACGCACCCCCCGCAGAGCCCTCCCATACTCGACACGCCCTGCTGGCCCCGCCCCAACCCGATCGATACTCTGCAAACAAACCCGTTCACCTCGGCGCGTTGTCGCTGCCCGTCCTTTACAGGCAGAGACAATTAATCGAGACACATCGATTGATCGATCGCCACCCAATAACGCCACAAGTGTCCCCCCTGGGGCGCGGCGGCGGCGTCCTCGTAGTAATAGTAATGTCTTTCTGCGGTGTGGCGCGCGGCCGCGGACGTGAGGGCCGGTGAAGAGGGTCGCCGCGAGGGCGTTCCCCCCTCAGCGCAGCCCCTAAAGTCCACATCCGCGCCCCACCATGGTGCACGGGTGCACGGGCACCCGGCCTGAACTACCCTACCCCACGCCCCGCCCCACCTTGCTCCAGCCCTGTCCACCCGGAGCTCCCCCTCGGCCGCACCCCTCGAGCGGTGCCTACCGCCACCAGCAACGGCCGGCCACCCCTGCGCCGCCCCGCCCCACCCCACCCCCTCCCACTGCAGCGACCGCGTAAAGGTTAGGTCGCACCGGGCGGGGCGGGGCCGAGCAGCAGGCGCCAGATCGAGGACAACCGAATGCAACGGCCGTCCATATTTATGGCTATGGCTCGCGAGGGTGCATTGTGAATCAGCCCCCTGCCGCCCCCCCCCCCCAACCCCCGCTTGTTATCGTCACGGCACGAAATGAACACCCGAAGTTTGGCATGCGGCGGCGGCGCCAGGCGCGCATCCCATGGCGACACATATCTCCTTTGATTTCCGCTCCCCTTTAACTAATTGAGATAAAGACGAGGAGCCACTCACTGAGCGCGGTTGGGAGGACCATACCGCTCTGCTGCCGGCGTGCTCTCGCCGGCTCGGGCCGTTATGAAAACGCGTGACGAACGCGTGACGCTACGGCGCCGAGTAGTACAACGGCTCGTCACACGTTCAAAGGGAAGCGCCATAGGGGAGCGGGGGCGCCGTCGAGAGGCGCGAGGCTGTGACGAACGCCTATCCGCCGGCAGTAGGCAGGAGCTGTGCTCACCGTGACGTCTTCGCGGAGACCACCGTCGTTGTGTGTTGTGTGCAGTATGCGGGCTAGCGCGGGCGAATGGTGAATATGTAAAGGGCCCGCTCGGGTCCGCCTCCGCTCCGCACTTCGAGCCGCCCCCCTCCTCGAGCTAGAGTGTCCTGCTGTCAAGTCCCGGTAAACACGCGCGGTGCTCTCGAGTCGAGCACCGCGAGGTGACTCCGCACCGTTGTTGCAGCCGGTCGCTTTATCGTCCACGAGGACCGCGGGTCGGGGTCCATCGAGAGCACGGCACCGCGGCAACACCTTGTGCTCTATGCTCGAGGGGGTGACACCGCATTCAGGGGGCGATACGACAACTATCTCACCGGACGGGGCGAAGAGAGATTCGACCGACGGACTCTCTCAAGCCGATACAGATGCCATAGCAGCGATACCGTGATGGTTTCCGTTGTGTTCCATAGTTCCCTGTAATCCCACTATCAGTTCGCGCGCGAAAACACGAAAAACACACCCACACAAAAAAAAGAGAATCAGGTGGCTGAGATAGGATTGGCAGGACATGAGTTGACTGGCAAATACAAGGGTGATTGCGAGCGACGGAAAAACGCGTGCTTAAGGATATGACATGTGATCGGTCACCAGTAGCGTAGTGTGTGTGGCGCTACATCCGGATCTTACTTCAACATTCTCGCGCCGCAAGCAAGACCTCCGTTATGACCTGCTTCGCGCCACCTCCTCACAGCAGGTCTCATGGTAATCCGGTCCGCGACATAGCGCCTAACCTAGCCTAGTCTAGACTGGTCTGCCGAAATCCCAATCCCGCTCGCCTTTTAAAGTCCAGCTCGCAGTTGGGCTATACTGCACGCCCCGCCCCATCAATGCATAATGCATGTGCATTCAATTACACTTCCCTCTCCCTTTCTCCGCCTACCCTTGCCCGGTTGTTCCTCGGCCCCTTGCCACCATCCCTTTTCCGTTTCCAGACCCGCGAGCAATAACTTTCTTTCCATATTACGCACGTCTTCTGCGAACTCTTTTTGTCTCCGACCGACCACGATCTAGACGAAAATAATAACCCTGACCCACAAATTATGGGTTCGGTATACCACCGCAGACAGATGGAAAAGGCGCGAGTCATCACACCCGCCTCGGACGCAGTTTTGCCGCCCGGGCTGCGCGCGTCCGCGCGCAGCATTTCCCAGAGTCCGCGTTTTTTGGGGTTTGGTGTTTCGTGTCCCGAGGGATGGCAAGGCTGAGTAGCTGAGCAGTTCTTGCTTCACAACTTGCGCCTGCTGGGCTGGTCTTCCCTCGCGCCTCGGCGGCGGGGCAGCAGCGCCGCCGCAACCGACTCCCCCTCCAGGCGGCAAGGCCAGCTGACTTGGGGGGGTACTTGGAGGTGCAGTCGCTCCCGCGGACGGTCAAGCGCACACGCACGCATGCAGCGTTATATAGCGTGCCCCAAAACTGACGTCAGCGCTGCACATGGGAATCGCCAGCCTGGCCACCATCGCAGCTGGACAGAGTCCGCTCCGAGTAAGCTCTGTACTTGGACGGTTGGGCTTGAGTATGGGCTTTGCTGGGCGGCACCGTCAGCTGATCACCTTTCCGTGCCGAGGCACGCGGCATTCTTTTTTTCGTTATCCGTGCGAGACATTTGGCGGTGCAAAGTCCCCTCTCCCTCTCGACTTTACCTGACCGCAGACTGTCAAGGCCCCTCGGAGCCCAATGAGTACAGAGCAGTAAAGAAAATGTAACATGCCTGCCTGTGTCGGTCAGTAATTCTTCATTCTTTTGGACATCCCCTTCCGGGGGAAGTCCTTGACACTGCACCCCCCCCCCCTTTCTTTTCTTTCCCATCCCTCCGAGGTCCGCTCCTGCGCCCCACGTGCCGGGGTACGCCGACGTATCGGATACCCGTCCGTAGTGACTCGCTCGCGGAGCGGCCCCCGGCCGCACCGTGAGCCCGGCCCGATCAGAAAGTCAGAAAGTACGTCAGCGCCCGGGTCCGCCGCGTCGGAAAGGGGGGAACAAGGGCGCGGGACGACTCCGCCGCACATAGGTCATATTCGCTGCGCCCAAGCCGCTCGCCGCCGCGCTTCAGATTCGCGAGAATCGCCCCACAGTCAGCTGCTCCCTCTCGCACTGCGTGCAGCGCCAGTTAGGCAAACAGGCCCGCCTGCGCCGGGGCCGGGTTCGGCCGGCGGGCAGCGCCTCGCTCTCGCTCGGATGGCAAACTAGACACTATCCCACTATCCAAACAACTCACCTTCGCCCTTCTCTCTCTCTCTTTCTCTCCTCGGTGACGACGACGACAGAGCCTCACGCGGCCGAGTCAAAACACACACGCACACGCGCGCGTTGTGGGGGGGCTTGGGGGGTAGGGCGGCCACCACCTCCTTGCTGGGCTCCGGTCGCGTCGGCAGCCGGTCGCAGACTGACGGGTTGGGTTGGGGCGCGGCGCGGGGCGGCGTGGCGCGGCGCGCGGTGGTCTGGCGTGGCGGCAGTGGCGTAGCAGGAGGGGGCGGGCGGGACGGCCGGGGCCGGGGCGCCACGCCGCTGCCGGCCGCGATAGGAGGGCTCGGCTCACGGCACGGCCCGAGTCCGCCAAGACCGGCTCGGCAGGAGTAGAGTCCTAAGGCAGGAGGGGGTCGGGGGGAAGGACCTGTACCTGTAAGCAGCGAGGAGGACCTGGTGAAGCCCCCCCCCCCCTTCTGCCCTGCTGGCAACGCGATGGAACAGGTTTCAGATGGAAGCTGTCTGCTCTGCTGGCTCTCGGGTTCCTTCGGGTGAGGAGGGTATTTCTAGACTCAATAGTGTTTACTGTGAGCTGTTCCGATGAACGAGTGGACAGTAAATGCACGGGAGTGAGGAATGACATGATGTGCCTCCATGGACTGAGCAGCGTTCGTAGCGCACGCCACACGCCTCCCGGTGTGCAGGCAGCCGAGCTCGCGCGGCGGCAGGGGTTGTGGCCTACCCACCAGGCGCTCGGGCCGCACCGATACGACGCGGCGTGTGTGCATGTGTGTGTGGGCCACTCGATGGTCGTGACAGGAGGAGTCAGCGGCGGGGGGCTTAGCCGAATGTAGTGGAGTGGAGAGTTCGAGCGTTTTCGGACCGGATAGCACACGCGAGAAGTCAGGTGAGCAGAGACTACAGGCCAGATCTGGGCTCTGGGTGTGTCGCAACAAGCTGTCATCGCGGATTTCCCGTCCGAATTAGTGTTCTGCCAGCGCGTCCAGGTTATGTTTATGCCTTTGAGTCTACTTGTAAGTTTTCTCTTGCTACTTAATTTTGTAGATATTCTGTTTTTCCATTTAAAAAATACTGCTTATCATGAATGGTTCATGAGTTAAAGGGCATAATGATTGTCTCATCTAGGTGTACTTTGTACTTGTGTGCTTAGATCTAAACTTAACTTTTGGGGTATAAAAATTTAAAAAATTGTGAGCCAGTTCACCCTTTCTTGGCCCATGACAACTCACAAGTGACTTTAATCTGGCCTGATCAAAACTGATAAAGCATAGGCCTAAGCCGAGAAACAGTCTGACCTTGATTAAGCTTAGCTTGGATTTTATCAAGTGAAGACGCAGCAAACAAGTAAAACTCATATACTTAGAACATATTACCCTAACTCTATAATTTTTTCAAATTTCCCCCCAGATTTGAAGATACTACTATGATTCGTATAACACAAAGTAGAGCTGTGCCTCAGCTGGTGGCTCTGCAGAAAAGTCTATTTAATTGTCGACATAAAAGCCATGGAGCAACAGAAAATCACAGGTGTGTATGCATGTTCACCAGAGACATTGCATTGTTCATACCATAAATATTTTAAATACTTTTTTCCCCTAGCTGTAAATTATTAATTGTTGGCGGAGGTTCTGCTGGCTGCTCCATTGCAGCTAAATTTGCGTCCAAGCTTGGAAGAGGGAAAGTGGTTATTCTCGAGCCATCTGATGTAAGATTTCTAACTAATATAATTCACGCCTGCTGGGCTGGTCTTCCCTCGCGCCTCGGCGGCGGGGCAGCAGCGCCGCCGCAACCGACTCCCCCTCCAGGCGGCAAGGCCAGCTGACTTGGGGGGGTACTTGGAGGTGCAGTCGCTCCCGCGGACGGTCAAGCGCACACGCACGCATGCAGCGTTATATAGCGTGCCCCAAAACTGACGTCAGCGCTGCACATGGGAATCGCCAGCCTGGCCACCATCGCAGCTGGACAGAGTCCGCTCCGAGTAAGCTCTGTACTTGGACGGTTGGGCTTGAGTATGGGCTTTGCTGGGCGGCACCGTCAGCTGATCACCTTTCCGTGCCGAGGCACGCGGCATTCTTTTTTTCGTTATCCGTGCGAGACATTTGGCGGTGCAAAGTCCCCTCTCCCTCTCGACTTTACCTGACCGCAGACTGTCAAGGCCCCTCGGAGCCCAATGAGTACAGAGCAGTAAAGAAAATGTAACATGCCTGCCTGTGTCGGTCAGTAATTCTTCATTCTTTTGGACATCCCCTTCCGGGGGAAGTCCTTGACACTGCCCCCCCCCCCCCTTTCTTTTCTTTCCCATCCCTCCGAGGTCCGCTCCTGCGCCCCACGTGCCGGGGTACGCCGACGTATCGGATACCCGTCCGTAGTGACTCGCTCGCGGAGCGGCCCCCGGCCGCACCGTGAGCCCGGCCCGATCAGAAAGTCAGAAAGTACGTCAGCGCCCGGGTCCGCCGCGTCGGAAAGGGGGGAACAAGGGCGCGGGACGACTCCGCCGCACATAGGTCATATTCGCTGCGCCCAAGCCGCTCGCCGCCGCGCTTCAGATTCGCGAGAATCGCCCCACAGTCAGCTGCTCCCTCTCGCACTGCGTGCAGCGCCAGTTAGGCAAACAGGCCCGCCTGCGCCGGGGCCGGGTTCGGCCGGCGGGCAGCGCCTCGCTCTCGCTCGGATGGCAAACTAGACACTATCCCACTATCCAAACAACTCACCTTCGCCCTTCTCTCTCTCTCTTTCTCTCCTCGGTGACGACGACGACAGAGCCTCACGCGGCCGAGTCAAAACACACACGCACACGCGCGCGTTGTGGGGGGGCTTGGGGGGTAGGGCGGCCACCACCTCCTTGCTGGGCTCCGGTCGCGTCGGCAGCCGGTCGCAGACTGACGGGTTGGGTTGGGGCGCGGCGCGGGGCGGCGTGGCGCGGCGCGCGGTGGTCTGGCGTGGCGGCAGTGGCGTAGCAGGAGGGGGCGGGCGGGACGGCCGGGGCCGGGGCGCCACGCCGCTGCCGGCCGCGATAGGAGGGCTCGGCTCACGGCACGGCCCGAGTCCGCCAAGACCGGCTCGGCAGGAGTAGAGTCCTAAGGCAGGAGGGGGTCGGGGGGAAGGACCTGTACCTGTAAGCAGCGAGGAGGACCTGGTGAAGCCCCCCCCCCCCTTCTGCCCTGCTGGCAACGCGATGGAACAGGTTTCAGATGGAAGCTGTCTGCTCTGCTGGCTCTCGGGTTCCTTCGGGTGAGGAGGGTATTTCTAGACTCAATAGTGTTTACTGTGAGCTGTTCCGATGAACGAGTGGACAGTAAATGCACGGGAGTGAGGAATGACATGATGTGCCTCCATGGTCTGAGCAGCGTTCGTAGCGCACGCCACACGCCTCCCGGTGTGCAGGCAGCCGAGCTCGCGCGGCGGCAGGGGTTGTGGCCTACCCACCAGGCGCTCGGGCCGCACCGATACGACGCGGCGTGTGTGCATGTGTGTGTGGGCCACTCGATGGTCGTGACAGGAGGAGTCAGCGGCGGGGGGCTTAGCCGAATGTAGTGGAGTGGAGAGTTCGAGCGTTTTCGGACCGGATAGCACACGCGAGAAGTCAGGTGAGCAGAGACTACAGGCCAGATCTGGGCTCTGGGTGTGTCGCAACAAGCTGTCATCGCGGATTTCCCGTCCGAATTAGTGTTCTGCCAGCGCGTCCAGGTTATGTTTATGCCTTTGAGTCTACTTGTAAGTTTTCTCTTGCTACTTAATTTTGTAGATATTCTGTTTTTCCATTTAAAAAATACTGCTTATCATGAATGGTTCATGAGTTAAAGGGCATAATGATTGTCTCATCTAGGTGTACTTTGTACTTGTGTGCTTAGATCTAAACTTAACTTTTGGGGTATAAAAATTTAAAAAATTGTGAGCCAGTTCACCCTTTCTTGGCCCATGACAACTCACAAGTGACTTTAATCTGGCCTGATCAAAACTGATAAAGCATAGGCCTAAGCCGAGAAACAGTCTGACCTTGATTAAGCTTAGCTTGGATTTTATCAAGTGAAGACGCAGCAAACAAGTAAAACTCATATACTTAGAACATATTACCCTAACTCTATAATTTTTTCAAATTTCCCCCCAGATTTGAAGATACTACTATGATTCGTATAACACAAAGTAGAGCTGTGCCTCAGCTGGTGGCTCTGCAGAAAAGTCTATTTAATTGTCGACATAAAAGCCATGGAGCAACAGAAAATCACAGGTGTGTATGCATGTTCACCAGAGACATTGCATTGTTCATACCATAAATATTTTAAATACTTTTTTCCCCTAGCTGTAAATTATTAATTGTTGGCGGAGGTTCTGCTGGCTGCTCCATTGCAGCTAAATTTGCGTCCAAGCTTGGAAGAGGGAAAGTGGTTATTCTCGAGCCATCTGATGTAAGATTTCTAACTAATATAATTCACTAAATTGTAAAATCAATATTAAATTTCTCATAGTAATTTTTTTATTATTATTTTTTTATTTAGGTTCATTATTACCAACCTCTCTTTACTCTTGTTGGGGGTGGTGTCTCTTCAGTCGAAAGGACTGTACGCCCTATGGGATCTGTTCTTCCAAAAGATGCAACATGGGTAAAAGATGAGGCAGTGTCATTTACCCCTGAGGAAAATCTTGTAAAAACTAAAAATGGCTCTTGCATTAAATATGATATGCTGGTTTTGGCATTAGGCCTGCAACTAAATTTTAATAAGGTAACCAAACTACAATATTTAAATAGATAGATGTAGTATTTGTTGCTAAGGTTCCATCTTAGCATTATCATATTACTTATTTCAAGGTTGAAGGGCTACTTGAGGCTTTGGAAACTCCTAAAAGTGGTGTTGTGTCAAACTATTCACCGAAGTATTGCTCAAATACTTTTCAAGAACTTCAAGCATTTTCAAAGGGAAATGCAGTTTTTACGTGTCCAAGCACACCCATCAAGTGTGGTGGAGCACCTCAGAAAGCAGCATATCTTTCAGAGCATTATATGAGAAAGGTAAAACAGTTCTATAATCATTGAACTCAGAGAACTACAAATTTAGTTATGTTTGTCAGATTTTATTTGAATATTTTGATTATATTTTCAGACAGGAAAAAGAAAAGATGCCAACATCATTTACAGAACTGGTGCAGGGGTATATTTCCCCAGTCCACACTATGAAAAAGTGCTCTACAAAGTAGCTGCAAGCCGTGGAATTGATGTCGCAATAAAGGAAGATTTAATCAAAGTTAATCCTAAGCAAAAAACTGCTATTTTTGAAAATGTTGATTCAAAGAAACAGACAACAATTGAGGTAAGTTGAAGTAAACCATTACTAAATTATAAATTTGCCAAATTACGCACACTTACATGCTATGTGAAAAAATGAAATAAGCCCATCTGTCTCTACTTTTCAGTATTCATTCTTGCATGCGACTCCTCCTCAAGGACCTCCTTCAGTGCTTGCTAAATGCAAGGATCTGACTGATTCAGCAGGGTGGGTCAACGTGAATAAGGAGACACTACAACATGTCAAATATAGCAATGTTTTCAGTCTTGGAGACTGTTCCAATCTTCCAACTTCAAAGACTGGAGCTGCAGTGGGTATGGATATTCTCATTTTTTTTACTCAACATTTCAATATTTTATTTTTTATCAATGCAATAGTAATTCCAACACCTCTCCCCTCTAGCTGGCCAGTTAGGAATTTTGTCAAAAAATTTGTTGAGTGCTCTGGAGGGAAAGCCACTTCAAGCTAAGTACAGTGGGTATACATCATGTCCACTAGTGACTGGGTACGGCTCTCTCATTTTAGCTGAATTTGACTATGACAAGAACCCAGTAGAAACTCTACCATTCGATCAGAGAAAAGAATCAAGAATAAACTATGAACTTAAAAAACATGTCATGCCTGCTATATACTGGACTCTGATGCTCAGGTAAGCTGTTGAAATTATCTTATGATTTCCTTATAAAAGAACCCAGAACATTTCAAAGCATGATATTTCTATAAATTTTGCAGAGGTTTCTGGGATGGCCCAGGCAAATTGCGGTCTATTAGTAACCCATTGGGCTAAGTGGAACTAAAAGTGGAACATCATTTGTGTATGTAATGTATATAATAAATAAGAGAATAATCACTACCCTTGTAGCACTAAATCTTCTAAGAACATTCTCAAAACGTTTTTAGGTTCCCTGAACGTTCATTGAACATTCTTAGAACAATTTGTGCTACCAGGGAAGGTATTGAAAAAATGAAAATCTCAGGCTGTGAAGTAATAAATATGAATATTGGTTAAATGATAAATTAGAGACCCAGTTATTTCAAACTTTATTATATGAACTATAGTAATGCTATTACAGCTGATAAAGGTGAAATCTGTATGAATTATTTTTTATGATAATGTATGAAGAATGGCAATTTAACGTGGGAATTAATACTCATTAAAAGAAAACATGACCAAAATGGTATAAACTTTCAATAATAAAATATAAGGGACCTCTATCATATTAAGGCAGACTATTACATTATCACACATAAAATTAAAAAACAAACCGACACCTCAGAAATGGAAATCTGCAGGTTCAACTCAGGTACTTTTTTTTATCTCTCCAAATTCTACTCAGCATTCAATTTTGTGTATAGTGAAAATTAAACCGATAGCTGAGCTTGTTGGTACTCAAAAACACTTCCACGCTCAATATGCTTGCTAGATTGCTGAATCAGAGGAATTCCTACCTCATCTGGTGGCCCATATCCTCCTCCACCAGGGGCATTCAACTGGAAGACATCCTGAAAAATTGAAAGGCAAATTTAAAACTGATGCTAGTACTATTAGAAGTTCCACTGATTGACTCGTCTACTTACACCTGGTTCGACATTTATAGCAGTTTTTGATCCCAAATAAATTACGCGACCATCAGCTTTCAACATTAAATTTAACCCCTTCTTGCCATCTTCACCACCTGAAAATAAGATATTCAAAATATTTTTATAATACCAATATTCATTCATAATACCAATATTTTTTTTTCATAAAACTAGTGAAAATAAAAGATTTAAACTAACCATGTAAACCATACGGTGCAAAAACTCGTCTATCTGTGAGAATTGAAAGAGTCATATTTCTTCTGAAAAGAAGTTCACGCAAAATTCCATCACCCCCTTTGAACTTCCCAGATCCTCCAGAATTTGGACGCAGTTCAAATTTACGCAGGATAACTGGATATCGCTGTTCAAGAATTTCAGGGTCTGTGATGCGAGTGTTGGTCATATGGGTATGAACACCACTCCTACCATTCCATCCAGGGCCCTAAAGAATATATTTAGAATAAAATACAAAAGTTTGATAACATTTAAAGTTACAATCCCCATAAAGAGGGATATTGGTAGAAATGAACTTACTGCGCCAGCTCCTCCTCCAATTGTCTCATAATAACCATAACCCTCCTCACCAAAGGTAACATTATTCATACATCCTTGTGATGCAGCACAGACATCAAATGCCCTTAAAACAACATCAACTATGCGTTGTGAGGTAAGAACATTACCACCAACCACAGCAGCTGTTTCAGATGGATCAAGTATTGATCCTTTGGGAATGTGGAGCTTGATGGGAGCAAGACATCCCTGCAATAAAGAATAAAATACTACATTTTCTGAAAGTTTGTGAATATTCAAAACCAAAAGTTATCTGTAAATTTACCTGGTTTAAAGGTACGTCATGACCAACCATGCAACGTAGACAATATATGAGGGCAGAGAGGGTTATTGCTCGAGGAGCATTACAATTCCCCCATACCTCAAATCCAGAACCACTACAGTTCAAAAATGAATGAGTTAAGTGATAGACATATGATTAAAAGAAGTTAATACTGTGAAAAAACTCACCTAAAGTCACAAAATGCTGAGCCTTGATCTACGTCAATATCCACTGTTAATTTTATAGGCGAGCCATCATCCATATAGTCCACTGCAGAAAGCTGAGTCTTTCCTGTCATTTCCAAAGAACGTTTACCAATCTCTCGAAGCATATTTCTCACAGCAAGCTCTGCATTGCTTTGAATATGTGCCATGTATGCTTGTACTACATTTAGTCCATATTGATCAATCAGTTCGTTAACTAAAATAGAACCCTACAAAATAGAACAATTTAGAGATAAATAAATATATATTTGATTTTTCCTTTTATGAATCAAAAGTTTGAAACAGATACAAACCCTCTGATTTGCAGCAATCTGAGCTCTAAGATCAGATAGATTATCTTGGAGGTTCCTTGTTCCAGAACTGCCAGGTACTGTTCCTGGGGCCATTAGCCTCTCTATGAGACGCTGCTCTCTAAATTCACCATATCGAACTAAAAGAAAACTCTTGAAGGTGGCCCCTTCCTCAACAAGTGACTTAGAATGTGGTGGCATTGAGCCAGGAGTAATACCTCCAATATCAGCATGGTGACCACGTGATGCAACAAAGAATATTGGTCGAGGAACACCCCTAAAACAAATTGATACAAGGTAAGTCTTCTAGCACAGAATGCCAGGTATTGATGATCATTGTAATTTCTAATAATTGACTGTAACATACTTCCGGAACACAGGAGTGATGACAGTAAAGTCAGGCAGATGAGAACCTCCGGCAGATGGATGATTAGATAGAATCACATCTCCATCATGGATATCATCACCTCTGCGTCTTAGCTGTCAAGGAAAATATTAGGGTTGGTATTAACCACAATTATAATGAGAAATGTGTTCAAAAAATCAACATATAAAATATTTCACCTGGTACTGGATTGTTTCCTGCATTGCACCCAGGTGAACAGGGATATGAGGGGCATTAGAAACTAAACCTCCATCTGGTCCAAAGAGAGCACATGAAAAATCTAAGCGCTCTTTAATATTAGTAGAAATAGCTGTTCTCTGAAGCACCCTGGAAAAGATAAATAGATAGATAAATACATAAAAAATCTATAAGTGATTAGCTTCCTAAAGTAAGGTCATCCAGCCCAACATACCTCCCCATTTGCTCTGCAATACTCATGAAGCGGTGAGAAAAAATACTCAATTGTATAGAGTCCAGTTCTGGACCAATTTTATTCACCTTGCCTGAACCAATGGTAATTTCTATATTACCAGACACTGTTATCTTAGCAATACAATCTGGTTCAACAAGAATGGTACTCAATTGGTCCATTATGATTGCAGGCCCCTTAATTTCCTGTCCGGCTTTCAGCTTATCCAAATGGTACACTTTCGTTAAAACAAACCCACCATGGAAAAAGACTTGAACTTCCTGGAGGAGAAAAAACAAACATAGCAATTTGAATAGAATAGTCGATTACAGTTTCAAAGATTTTTCAGAGAAACAAGAAATTTAATGCACACCTTCTCAGGTTTAGGAGTAGTTTTGGATGATTCTATTGGGGTTTCTTTCGCTGGAAACGATTTTCCTACCCCTCTTACCCTAATATCGTCTACAACAACATCTCTCTCAGTAAGCACAAAACCAAATTCCATTTGATACCTGTCAATGAATGTTTTGAGGAAATCCCCATTAGTGCATAGTGAGCTTTTATCTGAGGAAACAGCTGAGGGTCCACACATAAGGGCACAATCAGTTCCTTTATAACGTAGGTGGAGGTAAGGTTCTGTTTCAATGTTATCACTTGTAAATCCCTGCTTTTTCAGCTCTTCCTCACAGCTTTTACTTAAGGCAAAAAGCCTGGCGTCAATTGTAGAAAAGTTTTCTGAAAAAAAAAAATTCAATTACTTGATTAGATTAGATCATTATAACATAGATGGTGGCGTATAAGTTAAATACACACCAGGACAATACTTCATAGAACTGGGTTCTTGTGCTTCATGGACAACATCAGCCAATGCCATACCATAAGCAGACAGAATTCCAGCATACTTGTGAACTCGAACTTTAGTCATTCCTAAAGATCGAGCAATGGCACAAGCATGTTGGCCACCAGCACCACCAAAGCAAGCTAAAATATGCCTACTTGTGTCATATCCTTTAGCCTTCAAGAGACAATAAAACAGAAAACACAGTTAATTATTAGTACAAGCTGATATTCTTCAAAAGATAAAACTAAAGTATATTTTAAGTACCTGTGTTACAGCACGAATTGGGCGACACATGGCTTCATTGGCAACATTAATAAAGCCCATAGCAACGTCCATCATGGACATTTGCTTTTTGCTGGAACCTTCTGTACTCTTTGCCAAGAATTCATTTACCTGAAACCATACAAGCCAGTAATAAGGATACATTCATTTAAACTCTTTATTAATTTTAAAACAGTCAAACTACCTCAGCACTGATGGCTTCAAAAGCTGACACAGTTGCCTCTCTGTCAAGAGGTTGATCTTCTGTGGGACCAAAAATCTTTGGGAAGTATTCTGGCAACAGCCTTCCCAGACAAAGGTTGGCATCAGTAACAGTAAGAGGTCCTCCTTTGCGGTAGCAAACAGGGCCTGGGTGAGCCCCTGCTGATTCTGGTCCAACCACAAAAAGGCCAGAACGGAAAAAGAGCATAGAACCTCCGCCAGCAGCCACTGTGTTTACATCTAGCTGAATAAACATTTCAAGATTAAGATTGGGAAGGGTAAGCAGTACAGGGTTAGAAATATTTTTCAAAAGTATTTAAAGCACTTCTTACTTGAGGTGCTTGAATAGTAATACCAGCAGTAGTTGCCTCAAAAACATGCTCATACTGTCCTGCATATCTGCTAACATCAGTCGATGTACCACCCATATCAAAACCAATCACAGGTTGTTTTTCATCAGAGTCATCATCAAGATGGTAAGATGTAATACCATATCCAACCACTCCACCAGCTGGCCCTGACAAAATTGCTCTAGACCCAATAAACCTAATAATAAAAGAAATAAGAACAATTTTAAAAACTATTACAATTAATTTAATTTGTTTTAAAGCTATTTAATGAGTTATTTTTGCTTACATATCCATAGGAGTAAGACCTCCATCACTTTGCATGAAGAGTACATTGACACCCTTCAAGTTGTCTTTAAAACCAGCCACAAAACCCTAAAATATTTTTTTTCATTTGAAAAGAAGAAAGACTGTTCAATGAAATTGATCTACAGATTACAGGTGATACAGGTGGACCTGGGCCCAACATACCTGGACATATTTCTTGATATGAGGAGTTAGGTAAGCATCAGCACAAGCAGTGTAACCACGTGACACAATTCGCACCATAGGCATAACTTGATGTGAAAGAGACACATGACTAAAACCTAATTCACTGGCTAGCTTCCCAATAGCAAGTTCATGGTCTTTATGCCTGTAGAAACAACACATTGTTAATACCAAAGTAAGAATTAGATCAGAACCGAGAGGCTGAGGAAGAATATATTTCTTACATATAGGAATGCATAAGTACAACAGCTAAACTGGATATTCCTTTTTTGAGTAGAGCCAGTAATTTTGGTTTGAGCGTTTTAAGATCTGGTTCTTTAGACACCAACAATTTGTCTCCAGTTGTACCAGCTATTCGTGCCCAGCTGCGAGATTCTTCTCCAAGTTGACAACGATCTTCTTGAGCTGGTACAACTCTTGCGTCAACCTCCACTACTTCTGAATAAAGAACTTCTGGGACAGTAATAGACTACAAGGAGGATGAAAAGAATTTCTATAAGTAAAAGCAACAGATGTGTTGGTATCAATCAATGACAAAAATTTACTCACAAGATCAAATATTTTGGGGCGAGCTTGACTGCCAATATACAAGACGTCTTTGAAACCTTTTGTTATTACGAGGGCCATGCGTTCTCCCTTGCGTTCTAGGAGAGCATTTGTAGCAACGGTAGTTCCCATGCGGATCCAGTCAATGTGACTTCCATCAACAGGTTCATTAGGAGGCATCTTTTTGCCAAGTTCCTAAGAAAATAGCACTATAAGCAGCTGTCAACAAATAAATGACTTCTAGCAAAATTAATATAGGAACAAGGTTTAGAAATCACTTACCTCTTCTAGAATTCGACGAATGCCTTCCCTCGGGGCATCCTGATAATTTGATGGGTCCACAGATAATAACTTCATGACTCTTATTTTTCCCCCAGGACATCTTGCATAAATATCGGTGAAGGTACCTCCACGGTCAATAGCAAACTGAAAACCCCCATTGCGACTCATTTCAGCAGATCAAAAGAGTGTGGGACCACCTGTCAGATACTCTTGGACACCTGTAATAAAAGACACCAGGTGATAAAGATAAGAACTATTGTAATCAGAAGGGAAGTATTATGGAGCTGGCATTAGCTTAACCTTGACTTAGCAATGCAACCAGATAGAAACATAGGTATTAACAAAAAATCCATGGGTAAACTATGCCTCAATACATTTTCTAAGAATATAACGACAGAAAACAAAACCTAAATTGTGTTTTTAACCGGCTCAAAAACAAAAACAGCTGGAGGGGAGAGAAGTACGCAGCAGACGAAACGAGCAGACAAGTTGACAGTTTTTCCAACCTAACATTCTCAGCGTATTAAATCATTTAGCGATACTGTGCTGAGAAAAACGTGCTAGAAAGCCGAAATGCTAGAATTTAGACAAATGTTTCTGATCAAAAATAACAGTGCGACATCGAAAGAACTGATAACTGTACGACCTCAAACTACGCGGTAAGCATCTACGTTTCGAGGGTTGGTTAACATGTATTGCGCGTGGCGCGCCAAACCGGCAGCGGCAAGATCAAAGACAGTCTCTCGAAGACATGTCTCAGCTCAGAGCCGCCTCAGCGCTGCGGTTCACGGTTTATTTCGAGACGTCTGCCGGGTCGGGGCGCAATGACAGAGCACGGCGAGCAGCACGAGATAGAGCGCGCGTGACGTATTCCTGGAGGGCAATGACTCTGACTGGGGGTGTGTTGGTCGGGCCGGGAGTGGGGAGTGGGGGTGGTTCGGCAGGCCCGGCCCACAGTCAGTCAAGCAAGTGACTGCGGCGAAATACACATATCCACATTTTCTGGCGCCAAAAATCGTTTGCAAAACGAAAATTTTCTAAGATTGGGTATCAACGGGCTGAGAGCAACCTTGTTAACAGAGGTAACCCTCGTTCGGTGCCGTCAAGTTTCCACAATATACAAAGCAGAAGCAGCCTGCTCGTTTATGAGCTTAAGCTCAATTGAATTCCCATCGCGTCACATTTAGAGAATTTGGGAGGAGTTCCCGGCAACGACCGCGGCGACACATTATTTCCGACCAAGAAAAGCAGCCTGACCTATGCACTCCGTGTACCAGATCGGGCGGGGCGAGCGCGGTGAGGAGCGGGAGGGGGAGGAGATACGGACCCGATTAGACCCAGGAAGGGACTGGGATGACGATGATGATGATGGGTGCCGATGATGGCGCCTCGCGCACTGGTGCCGCCGAGGGAGGGAAAGACCACCGGACGCGGCGGTGCGGGGGCGGCGGCCGGGCGGGAGCAAGGTGCCTTCACCTTCAGGTGCTGAGCTAAGTGCGCACTGCGCAGCCGGGAAACACGTTTGATACAGAGGGGACCATGTCTGGGGCTGCTCGCTCGAGCGCAGCAAATAAAGTAATCGTCCCCCAGATAGTCGCGTGTCGCCGCGTCGAGCCGCGTCTCGCGCGTGACGTCAATCGAGCCAGATCTGGCCGGCGCTCCCGGTTCTCAGAACCAGTATCAGGTCATAAGTCTTGATATGTTACGCGACGTATAAGTGAAGATTAAGTCCGGTTCAGAGAAACTAAATAAAAAGCACGAAGCACGGTTAAAAGCGTGTAGCGATACTTTCGCCACATGCTAATGGCGAGCGAACCCTGTAGTACTGTAAAGTTACGAGGAACCTTCACCCTTCACTATGCTACGGTGCATGTCACACTGTTTAAAGCTTATGGCGAATTTCACGGTAAGCTACAGTGAATTACAGTGATATTTGCCGTATCTTACAGTGAAAATTGACCTAAGCTATGCTGCTGCATGGTTCACTGTAGCTCACGGTGAAATTCACCGTAAGCTTTTAACAGTGCACTGCAACTTCCAATGCTGCAGGGTTCACTGTAGTTTACGGTGAAATTCAACGTAGGCTTCTACAGGGTGGGTGATCCGCGCCGTGTTTTTTTCTGCTTATATTGTACCGTATTGCGGACGGATTGCATACTCGCACGGGGCCGAAAGGCGCCATGGCGAGCGACGATAGGCAAGCCCGCCCGCCCGCATGAATCCGGTACAGCACAAGCAGAAATAAACCACGGCGCAGATCACCTACCCTGTATTAGTGAGCGAGAAATTCAAATCGGAGAGAAGGTCAGGAAAAGTCACGAAAAGGCTGCTTCGGGTGGTAAACAAACGGTGCAGTGTCGGCACCGCAGAGGAGCTGGTGCAGCGGCGGCAACGCGGGCGGCAAGCGCTCACGCGAAAAAGCCCCTGCAGGATAGGCAACCCCCCAGCCGCATCGCACGCATGTTCCCCTGTTGCCTACTTTACGGCGTTCACCAACACCAAACCCCCCGCTACTATTTTGTTTCGTTATCCGTCGGGAACATGCCACGGGGTGCAACGCGCCTCGTTTCGAATAAAAGCAACATTTAAAGAACCAAATGAAATACACAAACACACCTCTTCTTAGCGTCCTCTACCTCGGGGTTCCTTATTTCCCTACGGAGCAGCCCAACACGGCGAAGGCGGAGAGCCGCTGCGGGGGACAAGAGCACGGCTGGGTCACTTCCCCGGCGCGAGCGTGGGCCTCGAAGCTCTGGACACAACTAACACACATGTCTTAAGTCGCCCCCACTACATTCGTGAGGCTGTCGGGAGTCGGTGGCGGGGCGAGGGGAGCACATCTCCCCCCACTCGTGGCTCTCCTCATGCCGCAGCACGGACCACAGGAGGGCCCAGGGAGAGACCCAGTTTGCTCGCTCCCAACAAGCCTCGCTGAGGCAAGGTACGGCAGATAAGGCGACTTGACACAGGACACTGTTGCAGTGCGCCGTTTACACACGGCTACGTGCAAAACGTGAGGCCGGGTGTTGCCGAACGGGAAGGGAAGTCATGTGGCACTGAATAATGGCGCCGGATATCCAACCACCGTATGGTTACTTCAGAGAACACTATAGTGAGTTTAAGTAACCGTGCCATGATTAGTACAGCACAGCTTTCCATTTTTCTGGGTATATTATAGGCAACAGTGCACCCATGCATGCATAAAGGGCCGGAGTAATGAACACACACACACACACACACACGACTAGATAACGACGCTTCGTTTACCTAGTATAGTTCATAATAGGTTGACGAGGCTTTTTAGACGAGGAAAGAGACCTCGCCCATCCCTTCTGCTCTCCGTCCCGCAGGAAGGCAGGACCCGTTTTGACATGCCCTTGTAGGAGCATTTATTTGTCCTCTCCTGCTCACGAGAGTAGTGCTGCCGATGATGCCGGTGGTGGCCCTGGTCCAGGAGAGCTCCAGCCTCACCCCCCCCCCCTCTCTCTCTCTCACTCACTCACTCATTCCCTCTGGGCCGGACAGGGGCATCACCCGCTTCACCAAACACCCCTGCGACAAGAAGAAAAAGACGGCCGGGCCGCCGGAATAAAAACTGTTGGAAAAACAGTGATAAGAGCGCCGCCTGCTGCGGGCGGGGCGGGTCCGATCATCAGTAATATAGGGAAGATAAGGCCCGGAGCGAGGCGATGTAGGATATTGACGTTTGAGAGTGAAATGAATCGGCCGCGCAGCGCAAACCAATAAAGATTTGGCGGCGGTAGGGAGCTCGCGCACGCGAGGGACCCACCGGGGCTTGTAGTGGGCCGGCTCGCGAGGTGCCGCTGTGCAAAACGTACACGTAACACACCTAAAACAAATTGAAACGCGCAGTCGAAAAGTGTGGCATTGCGCATGTGCCATGTAAGTCGCCTCACACCTACACTCACACTGTAGGAGGGAGGTAGTTTGCGGGTGGCCATCTAGTGCTGGGGTCTTCCCTCCCTGTCCACGACAACGTCGTGGCTCTGACAGTAATAATCTATAAACAGCGATAAATAGAGGGTCGCGACAACGCAGGCCGGCTGTCACATCGTGTCAAGATCAAGGTTTCAATCTGGGGCTGGCCTCGCGGTGGGGACTATCTCGCGACATCGGCAGGCACCGGCACCTCCAACAAAAGCAGAGTCTGTTTGGGCAAGAACCATGGTCAGGGTACTGACTTTGGCAGGCATTTTGTACAGACTTGAACATTTATTTCAGACTTCAAAGACCCAAAGATATTATAATTAAGACCCTTAAATAATAAAATTCATGATTCCCGGTCTTAAAAATATTGTCTTGTGTAAATAAATAAAAAACTTAACCTTCAGAATTCATAGTAAGCAATAAAATTAGAATGATAGTGAAAATATTAATCATCCGCATCACCTTCATCAGTCTTCTCTTGAAGTGTTGCATTCAAATATGAAGTGGCAGGGGCTATGTCACCACCCTTGTTTTTCACAATTAATTTATGCTTCCGAATTTTTATGTAGCCTCGAGGTATTTCTTTTGGAAGTTTACATATTGTTTGGAGAAAAATATCTATCTCTTTTCCTTTCATGCCCAAAGCCATACTGTAAGAGGAAAAAATACATCAAGTCAGCAAGAACATAAGCATTTTTAAATCATTTGAGTAAATTAGTATGTTTGAGGCAGAAACTTAGAACAAAATTTAAGTACACAAGCTTACCAGCAGAAATCTTTGAACAGCTGGGAGTTTGATGCAGGATTTGAAAGTAATTGTGCTATCATCAGCTGAAAAAAGAGGATAGCTAATTAATCAACAGATACTGCGAGTATACTTTTAAAGGCCGTGAATTTCTTTAGTACCTTATTAGTGATTGCACTGTTATTGTCACCGACGTCTAGGTAGCACTGATATAAGCGGCTAACAGATATCCAATCATGTCTTAACAGTGCTCGTCTGATTTCCTGGACAAGGCTTGGGCTAGATGCAAAGATACCTACAATCAAGGCCAAGGATTAATTTGATGTATACGTCATAAAGCAATATTAAGAGAAAATTGTGAAGACATACGTCTCGCAGATCTGTCATTCTTAAAGCAATATATATCTTCTGTCTCGAGAGGGGCATTTAACAGAGCCATAGCTTTATTCTGAACACAATAAAACACAGGGCTAGAGAGGATTCAACGAGAAACTGTAAAACACAATCGTCAAAATGAAATAAATAGGAAACTAACCCAATGTTTTCGCTCAACACGCTGCTCTGCTATTTCTTCCTTTTTCTCCTGAAATAAACGCGAAGCGCCGTGTCTTTTCTTAACAGAACCATATGGTTTCTTATTGACTGGCGTAATCGATGTATTTGTTGTATCATTACTTGAATTTGAAATATTTGATTCATTCAATTCCATGGTCACACACTTTTGAGCGGTTATGTTATGTTTATGTCATTTTCTGACACCTACATTTCTCTTCTCACGTCAGGTGAATTATAGGCAGGCGGTGAACAGCTGAGGACAAGAACGTTTTATTTTCACAGAGGGCGTTCGACCTTCTCATCAAAGTGCCTCGCTTCGTCGTAGTGTTCGTACTCATCTAAGGTCCTGAAAAATACTTACGTGAGTTTAATTGGCAGTAATGTGTTTAGCAGATTTCATGTATCAACTCATGTCATACCAGTTTTACTTTCTCATGTTTCCTTTACACCTGTTAATCTTTCCAAAGAGGGTCTATCGTCCACTTTGAGGTCGACATCACAGTTTTAGAATCAAGGTAGCAAGGGCACAAAATTCATATTTTTAGTTGATTATGTGTTCGTTCACAACAAGTTCTTTAGTATAGTACCATGAATTGTCAGTGTCTTTCAGCTAAATGACACTTACATGATTCATGTTGCACTTTACTGACACTTGATATGGTTTATCCACCACCCATAAAATATCTCGTAACTTCTTCACACGTAAGAGCGAAAGCGCCAATCTTTATAAATAATTCACATCTGTTGAGAGTAGAAAATGACACGTATGACTATATCTTTACGTAAAATTGCTATTTTACATGTATGGTTTTTGGGTGATTTGTACTAGAACGACCTAACCTCATTTCTCTGGAAGGTGCCACTTCCCTTCCCTCTGCTACCAACTTATGTCATGTGATCATTCTGAAACATTCGCAAATTACGAAAGGTTCTGTAAATTTTCTAATAATACTGTTTTTAATTATCTTTTACAGACAAAATGGCACTTAAATTAAGGACCAAGTTGCCACAATTGGCACAAACGATGGCTCGTCAGATGTCATCCCATGACATCTTCTATCACGACCAGAGAGAGCTGTGTGGCAACAGGGAGATTGTTGGACATGGAAAGAGTGGCAAATACACTTATTACGATGGCCATGATTTGCCATTCCCAGCTATCCGTTTCCGCCCGGATGATGCTGCCAGCAAGGTTTGCCGCCTTTCCATCATTTTCCAGTTCCATCAATTTAATTTATTGCAGCATTACTCTGACAATGTATTGTCTTTTTTGCAGGCACTCCGTGAGAAGGAAAAGGGAGACTGGAAGAACTTGACTCTTGAAGAGAAGAAAACCCTTTACCGACACAGCTTTTGCCAGACTTTCGTTGAGATGGATGCCCCCGATCCAGAGTGGAAGGCTGTTCTTGGGTACACTCTTATTGGTGTTGCTGTTGCTTGGGGAATGTATCTGACAACTGCTTCTATCAGTGAGTTTTTAATCTAATATTAGCATCTACGTGGATACCTTCATCCCCTCAAATTAAATTTTGTGATCAATTAATTCATAATCCGATCCTTATATTTTTTCCAGTGCCTGAGCATCCTTACCGCGAATTCTTTGATGCTCATGAGACAAGAGTAGCATCTGAGCAGAGGAAGCTTGACCGTGGAACTTACAAGGATAAGGACTTCACTGGTTGGGATTATGAGAATCGTAAATGGAAGGAATGAATTGTGTAGCAATTTTAGACAAATTGTAATTAAATGTCTTTTAAATCAATCATTGTGAAGGCTATGCCTCAAGCTTAGTTCTGACAATTTGTTTGCAAGACAGCTTGAAAAAGTGCTTTTAAAGTTTCCATTCTGTAAATATGTCTTTCAAGCAATAAACCGGGTAACAATTTGAAGTGTTTTTGAATATCTTGGGTCCAGTTCTCAATCCAACCTTAGTTAGCTTAGTGCAGCACAATGATTTCAATGTGCTGCACTATCAAATGTTACTTATGGGCATGTAAATGATTAAACTGACATTTCAGTTCCAATTGGGGATTGCAGCTTCTCTGCTTAGTGAGTTGACTATTGTAAGACTAGAGTATTGTTAACATAATGAAATCAAATTCCAAAGGGGTCAGTTTCAGTTAGCAAGTTTATTCTTCGCCAGAGTACAGTAATATTTACAGGGAAGAAGGATCAATGAACTAAAATGACAGATCACATTGATAAAAAGTCCAAAATTCATCACAAAAGGCACATTTAAAAGGGTGTATCGAGCAAAATGTCCAGCATTTACTATAATTATTAAAACTGATGCAACATGAGAAGACAACACATTACGCAATCTGCACTTTAGCACCATCTAGGTATGTTTTCAGATGAGCTCTGTCAGAATCTGTAAGTCCTGTAGTGAGAAGAGGAGAGAGTCTTCCAGGATAGGCTACAGACAATTTGCTGAGACTCTGAGCCAGATTTAACCTTGGGTCTCCTGCACCTGCAACACAAAAAATATTCCTTACATTAGCTTTAAAAGCACTTGATATGTAAAATAAACTCATCTAAAGAATACTTGCCACCCAAGGGATCATGTTCTTGTTTATTTGCAAAGTTAAGCTGAGAATAAGCAACAGTATAACCAGGAGCATCGTCTACTTCAATGAAATGGTCATCAGGATGAATGGACTCATCCTCAGGCAGTTCAAACAATCCAATGAGTGCCTGTAGTAAGGGGGACCTACAAAAAGGGTAATATTACACACTTCAGCTCTATACAAAATAGACACATTAGCAACAGCTATACACAAAACCGTATTATATCACACATACCATAGTCTTGAGTAGGGACCATCGAGTAACTGAGGACATTCACATAAGATTTTTGTGACACCAACTGCTGTAATTTTGCGCTCAACTGCACCACTTATCTTTTGCATATCTACTATCATCAATCTTTCCAGTACCATCCCAAACATCCTAGAGAGACAGAAATAAAATTATAGCAGCATCAACTTAAAACAAAAAGTCATGGTAGAAAATTAACAGTGTGTTCTACTTACTGGGCCTGAATACCATCAATCATTTCAATCAGACTATTGGCACCATACTTAACGGAGTAAAAGCACATAAACACCAAAAGGCCTTTCACAAACTTAGTAGTTTTGCTTGACTGCAAACGTTGGAAAAGTAGAACAAACACTTGACGAAGGTACGAAGATAGCGCTTGGCTGAGAGCAAAAAATTAAAGGGTTAGATAACATATGCCTCTCTCGTTAATCTGTCCACATATATTTGGTACACAACAACTCACGTTGGTAAGTGTTCTATAAGAGATTGAATTAGATAAAATCCTTCATGGTCATTCGCTTTTGAAGCAACAAGCTTTTGGAAAACACCAAGCAAACCACTCTAAAAAAAATAAATGGAAAAGATCAAAATTTATGACAATTGCAATTTAAAAATACAGGCATTGAAGAAAAAATAAAACTTTACTCACAATTTTCTGGGATTCTGCAATTTGACCAGCTCCTTTGTGAATGAATGCCCGAAGCAGACGCACAAGAGGGTGTATATTTCCTGGTCTCTCCCAAAGAACCGGGACCAGCAAGCAGGGAAACAATACCATGTATGGCTCAGGAATGGTTCCACTTTCATGCAGTTCAAGCAGTAGAGACAACAATTGAAAAACATAAGGGATGAATTCTTCAAAACAAAAGAACAAGAAATCATATTAGCTTATTAAACATATATACTGTAGCTCAACTTTTTCATTTTTCTTTAGATGTTAAATACCCTGAACGTCTTGAGAAAGAATGCCTTGGAAAATTGGAAAGAGTGCTTCCTCAAATGATGCTACAGCTGCAGGTGTAGATTTGCAGACAATCCTTCATAGAAAAAATTGCATATTTAAAGACGCACATGGTAAACAAGATAAAACAGAAAAGAAAAGAATGGCATGGATGTTACCTGATAGAAAGACCTATAGTTTCAAACAGATAATGATTGAAATGTGGTTTGCTCGGATTTCTTGCAACTAAAGCCAACTTTTCAGTAAGTTTTGGCAAGAGTTCCGCAAGGAAAGGTATAACATTTTCTTGCAGTGAAGAAAAGCTCCGCATTATGGCTGAAATAAAAATACACCATAAAATATAATACTGATAAATTGATAGATTGAAAATAACTAAATTATGCTACACCATACCTTTCATTATGTACTCATTTTCTGAGGATCCAGGAAGACAAAGAGCACCAAACAGAGAGTTTAGTAGAACGTGGGCCATCTGTGAGACTTCTTCCTTCTTTACACTGAAAATTGATAGAATTTTTTTGTAACAAAAACAAAGAAATCAAAGAATTTTTCTCATTAATACCAAAATATTTTGAAGACAATTCTCAGCTCTTCAGGTAATCTTACAGGGGTTGGTGGTCAGGTCCACGTATTGTTAAGATTTTTTCAATAGATGCTGCTGCATAAGTATGTACAACAGGACTTGCGGCAGAAAGATGATTAACAAGTTTGGGAAGACTTCCAACCACAACTTCCCGAGGCAATACTGTTCTGAATATCATGATGTATTTGATGGCGTCTGCTCTGATGACTGGAAGCGAGTTCACTTGGGAGAAGAAAAAAAAGAAACTTGTAAAAGACGAAAGAAAGATTGTTTCAATTGAAGCCCTTACATGAAGTTTAACTCCCACATACCATCAGGCTTCTCCAGTTCAGGGATTATGTGTTGGGCTGCAAAGTCTGTTAAATTGACAAGCTGACTGGACTGAGTTACACCATGTTTCTCAGTCTGTCCCTTAGCAGCTAGAGAGGTCACAAGATACAATGCAGCATCTTTACTGCGCCAGTTTTGAGCTGGATTTTCTGAATATTTCTGAAGCATTGCCTAGTTAAATAGCAAATATGTATGTTAGAACTCATAATCATAATGTGATGTAGAGGTAACTGCTTAACTTGAAAATAACCTCAACATACTTGAACATATTGACCAAAGATCTGCATCATTTTCTCTTCGAAGTAACGAGATAGGACTTTAACAAGATCACACGCTGCTCTACGCCTTGTATCGACATCAGAACCCTCAATGTCTCTTCTGATATATTCCTCAGGATTATCTTCAAAGAGTTCTTCGTCAGACGCTGGAAGTTTTAAGAAAAGAGCAGGTGGAGATGTTAAATGGAACTATTTTATTCTGAAAACCAAAAATGGCTATTACTTACTTCTGAATTCCATATTAGGTATGATCACCTTTTCACAAATACTGCTTAAAACAGTGGGATCTTCGAAAAGATGTCTGTAATGAGACCTGTCAGCAACTGTTGCAAGGAATTGCAAAGAGTTGCTAACCAGCTAGAGAAAGAAGATTTTGGATAATTAGATTCTACAATTGGAATCATTTAACAGAAGAAGAATCAGAACTTACAGAATCATATTTGGCAAGATGGCTAGTACTAGTAAGCAAATTCCACACATCTGTCACAAAAGTTGGAAGGTATGGTTGAAATTCCTCATCATACTTTTGGGCGTACAAAGCTGCATTATCACATATTTGCGATCGGAGTTGCTCCAGTAACCCAGGTTCATCATCATCCTAGTAATAAATGAGAAAGATTTCATGAATAACAAATTATACTCGAGTACAGAAGTAAAATTGAAGATACTGACCTGGGTATGTAAAGAGGGTACATCAGTGGTAAGTAAAGAGTGGAAATTTGTCATCCATGTCTCCATATTATCTTCAAAGAACTCTGGTATGTCCTAAAAAAAAAAAGCAGGAAAAATGTCACAAAAAAGATTAAGCGTACATAAAACCAAAAACATTTTAAGCCAAATAGACAGAAATTAAAAAATTGCTTACTTGAAAATTGAGGGAGTAGAAAACTTTACTAATTATTACCAAAGAGCTGTATATTACTTTTAACGCATTTGGATTGCTAGCATGGACAGTTGCCAAATTCAAGGTAGCCTGAAGGGGAAAAGTATCATTACCAGTTGTTCAGATTATTGTCACATACCTGATTTTGGAAAATTCGGTAATTAACTTACAACAAAGAGATCTGTCAAGGGCTTGGCAAAATTATCCAACACCAACTTAATTTCTGTCCACAGTGCTTGTGATTTGAATTCATATCGATATCTCTTGAAAATAGAATGAGCAGTGTGCAACACACCATTTATGATATTAAAGTCCCCTGGAAGATTTCAATGAGCACTTTGTTAAGTCACAATTATAAAATTAAATTAAATTTAACAGGAAATAAGAATAGTCCTACCTGATTGAAATTTTTCCACCATTTGACTGATGAGATTTGGCCACTTGAGAGGGAAGTCATATCGACCAATAATCGAAACTGCATCACTTAACTGCTTTTGTATGGATTCTGGAGACATCACCATTATGTTAACTATATTCTCTTTAATAGCCAACCTGTCATTGGCTGATATTCTGTCTCGTGTGTCCTCATCCTGTGAATTAAAGAAATTCAAGAATTTAAAACTGTCCATCAGAAGGTGATGATGATGTTACTACAAATAAAACTTACCGTGTGCCAGTTGCGTTTTACGTAATTCTTGAATGTTATAGCACAGGCAACTCGAATGGTCATTTCCACATTGTCTCTTGTTAATAGCTTTAACAAGAGCATTGGGTAGTTCTCGTTCACCTCCACAGACTCCAAGAAAGTTTCAGCTAGAAAATTTACACACACACAATGAGAAGAAAACCAAATGACAAAGGGTGAAGCTCGATGGATTACTGTAATACCTGGTTTTCGCACATTGACGTCTGGGTTTAATGTGTCATACAGGTACTTCTGAAGAGAAGCAAAGTTTTGGTCACTAAGCTCCATTTTCTGAAAAGAAAATTTAGATACAAAATTTACACTTGATTAAAAATGAATGGCGAAATGTTTATCACCGTCCATCTGAGCCCGACGAGAGATGTGTCAAGGCCTATACAGTAACATTTTCAAGGGAATATCTCGAGTAACGTGAAAGTAAATGAGGGTGTCATCGCTAATTTCATTTCGTAATTAAGCAAAAGTTGTCAAAAAAAATACACTGATGCTGTCTTGTCGCAAAACTTAGGTTAGGATTTACCGGTAACAAACACGCGCGATAATCCTACGTAACTGTATTTAACAGCGCTTGTTACAAGGTTACCTGTCTTAATGAGTTTGATCAGAAACTGGACGATAGGCTTCAGCGCAGCTTCAAACGATGATTACGAAACTAAACACAGGGTGTAAAGAGATCTTTGGAAACAATAGCAATGTCTTCCGTGCTCACGGCCTTTCAAATTCACAGGACCAAAATGAAGGGCGGGAAAACTTCAGTCAGGGCCAGGTTATCCAAGCCGAAGTTTAGACTACTACGTTTCGAAGTTAATTACTACTGACAAAATTCTAAAGAAACGCTTACCATGTGATTCTGTTTCTTGATCAAAGTCACAAAATCATGTCGAAGGTCATGGTTTCAAGGCAAAAGTTGAGATCGCATAGCTCTCACAAATGTTTCTGTTGGTAACGGGTTTACCCTATCGGTATGAGAAACATTCGGTTTGCACCCCGCGCGCGGAGTTTGGTTGCCTTCGCTAACATACCATCAACCATGGTGCTCGTGGGCTGTGAGTCCGGTGAAGCTACTCGAAGTTCACACAGGTAGTCGAAAACAACAAGAATAGCTTGAAGCATATTTTAGAAGGAATGAAAATATACGTCGTTTATGGGTGGACCGTCCCAGAATTACTTTGGCTTTGGTCTTTGGGTTCCGTAAGCTTGTCCCGGGACCCAAAGACCAAAGTGACGCCGGGCTGACTATAGCGTCAAGTGATGTAAAATACGTCGGCAACCATGGAGGCAAGAACTTTCCTCTGTGGCTCAACCAAAGTTCCCGTGGTCTTCCCACCACGCAGAGCGCCTGAGGCGGTAACGCCGCGCGGTGTACCCACAAAGTACCTACCCGGGCGCCAGCCGACGTTAAATTGAAAACCTGGGAGCAGCCATTGATAAATTGTACGAGACGTGCACGCGGACGCATGTGCAATGAACGCGGCGCAGCTCACCAAGTGTAGCCTAATGCATAATGGGTAAATTAGCATAATTTTGGGCGCGGTCGTGTCAGGCGGACGAGGGGAAGGGGTGGGGGTCGGGGCTGGGTGCCGCCACCGCGTCTATTACACACTAAGTGATTTCAGGCGGTGAAAAATGAGATCAGCTCCGCGTAATAGATTTTCGAACGGCGCATGCAGAAGGCCGGCGTGAGGGAACGCGCGGGGAAAGGGTGAAGGGAAGGGCCGCGCCGGCGGGCCATCACGGAGCGAACGGTGGGCCCGGCCGGGCCGCGCGAGCGAGTAGCCCAGGGTAATTAGATGGAGCACGTCCTCGCTCTGGAAAAATTCGGCGGTAAGAAAAAAAAATTGTATCTGCAACCGGCCTAGTACCGGCCTAGTTTGTAGAACATTTTCGATTTTGGACCGCGAGGAAAAAAAGTACCCGAAAATAACTGTTTAGAAATGTATTATTAGCCATAGAATATGAGGAACAACAAGCAACAACACAAAATAGCCCCCCCCCCCACACAAAAAGCGAAAATCAAACTGTCAGAATTTTTTGGCAAAGTGTGGGTGAGCAGGAACACGGCAAACAGAACCGGAAGAGCATGTAAACTGGGGCCCCGTTCTGTTTCCGTGGCGCGTCGTTCCTGCGAAACACGCGTGTATGTATGAAAACATCAAAAATCCTCTGATACGTGTTACGACTTGAAGTCGGGATGATTTGGACGAGAAAAACTCTCCGCAGGGGGGTTCCAATTATCGTCATTGCGCGGGGGAGGAGAAGCAGGGGGGGAAAGGCGCGGGCCCCGGGGGCCTAACATCCTGCCCTTCTTTCCTCCCACGTTAGCCGGGCGGCTGCCCCGCGCCGTGGCCGGGGCCCTCATGTGGGCGGGGAGCGAACGCCAGAAACAGTTTGCTATCACACATACGCGTGTAGTGCCTAATTGTACACCGCCAGGAAAGCCGGAGCAAGCCCGAGTCCGCGGTGTTCGCACGCGCGTCCGGCTGCCCGATTTTTCATTACGATATGAGCGATTCCCCCCCGCCGCGTGCATCATCATTACGTACTGATGAGCGCAGCGGGGTGGGGCGGAGCGGAGCGGGGCGCGGCGCCAGTTTTCGACTACCAGGGGGTGGCTGGACTAACCCCTCGCACTTTTGTAGTCACACTGTGCCGCATGGAGCAGTACGGGTGGGTTGCCTCATATACTCGCTCATCAGCACGTAATGCGCCGTAGTCAGCGATGATAGGCAAACCCG